AATTAATTTTCTCCTTTCCATGAATACCAGGTAAAAATAAAGGAGTCAATCTTTTGAGCATGGATGAATCAAAAGAGGAATAATACTTGTCCTCAGAAATATTGGTTTGGAAAGAAAGTCTTGCAACACTTTCTAAAACTATTTATAAAAATTTTCAAAGGAATGATGGGCGGGGCTTTGCGTTTGTATATGCTGGAATGTTCTCGAAGCTTCTGCCCTCGGGGTTCTGCCAACTAATGGCAGAAGCCGCCTTATATACCCCGAGGGCAGAAGCTTCGAGAACATTCCAGCATATACAAACGCAAAGCCCCGCCCATCATTCCTTTGAAAATTTTTATAAATAGTTTTAGAAAATGTTGCACAACTTTCTTTCCATCCCAATATATTGAGGGCATCATTCTTTTGCACCAAAGAATAAGAGATAAGAGGAGAAAAAAATCATAGTGAGGACATCAGCCTTCACACCAAAGAATGAAATGAGAAGCAAAATCCTTCTTCCTGAAGGAATCCATCTTGGAAGAATAAGCAATCATGGAAAGATGAGATTAGGTCATCTCCACTTCCAGCTCCTTCAATTTATTTGCGAGACTGGCCATCAGTGCTGCTCTGGTGCAATTTTTTGTCTTCATACAGAAGTTTAGAATAAGAATAGAAGTTAAAAGTTTCCCTGGTGGCAGTTTTCCTGATGTACGGTATGAAAATCCTATCTTATCTGCAGGAAAAATCAAGTATATGAATTTGATAGAGAAGATCTGAGCTTGCAGATCAGGGCTCACGGGAGATATCTACCGTCGAAGGTATGCACCTGACTGAAGGCGACAAAAAACACTGAAGATGCCTAAAGACATCCCTAAGATGTCCCTAAGACATCCTCCTCAAGATATCGAAAAGCGTTCGACTGAAGATGTCTTCGAGATATCCCCTCCAGGATGTCCAGAAGTATTCGACTAAGGATGTCATAATGATATCCCAAAAGAGGTATCTGTAAGATATCGACTGAAGATATCTTAAAGACGTCTCTTAGATATACTGAAGACATCTCTTACGAGATGTTCGAAACCGTCCGAAAGAAGATGTCTTCACGATATCCTATAAAGACCAGGGAACAAGTCGTCCAGTTAGGGACATTCTTGGGATAGCATAAGCTTACTACAGTGCCAATACTTTGAAAATCCAGAAGAACATGCCAGTTCTTGGGTTTTGAAACTGAGCCTAGCCCCATTTCAATCTTTGCTAGTTTATGAACGTTAGCTGTCTCACTCATTCCTTTGAATTTTCCCCACCTGACATACAATAAGCACCTCTAAATATATATCACTTAAGCAATTCCCAACAAATATCTTAAAGGCAAAAAAATATTGTACTGATGCACAGACCAGAACAGTTCTACCCCAACTTTCAGAAGCACAAGGATAATGGTGCTGTGCATATTGTAAGATAACATTGAAACTTGGCTACTTTCTTCCTGAACTAAGTTAACCCTTTCAGTCCTGAATGACATAGAAAAAATGTCATATATTTTTTTTTGGCTTCAGCAAGTCTTATATAAAATAAAAGTGCTTTTAAAATGGTTTCCTTAAGGAAAACAAATATTTATTTAATTGTTTTTAAAACAAATAATTAATTAAATTACTATATTTAATTAATTCAACTAGTATTCATATCCCTATTTTACGTCATATATTTCCTAGCATTTCTGTACTACTTTCCATTATCTAGCTTGCAAAACAAAAAGAAAAAAAATTGGATGGGAAAGAAATGTATTAACTGAAATAAATGCAAAAGATGACACCATTTTTTAAGTGCCAGAGGAAGTACAGCAGCCTCATATTACTGTGGACTGGTGACAACTTGACAACATGAGGTGAACAGTATAAACTGGGACTCAGAATCCTGCCACGGCCTCAAGGTCGTACATTCCTGGGTAACCCTATTACAAATGCAAAGAAAATGTGGGACTCCTGAGTCCCGCCCTGACAGAAAGGGTTACATTAACAACATTAATGACTTAATCCAAAAATCAAGCTGTTTCCAGTTACTGAACATAGGGAGTTCAAACCGCAGGAGACCAATGTAAGGCCATTGGGACAAAATTTTCCTTAATTAGGTTTTTAATTTTCAGGAGAGTAGACAAAGCATAGAGACGTGTAAAAAGGGGGGAAAAATTATTATCAAGGAATAAAGGAAGAGTGTCATCAAGTTGGACCTTGGCCAATGGCACCAACACTCTGGCAGTCAACCTTAAGAGCAGAAATAAATTATTTTGCTACCCCTTCACTGAACTGAAAATGAAGTAAACTTACTAGAATAGGTAGATTTAGGCCCCGCTTCATGCAGATTATGATTTATGGTCTCTCTTGCTGTCCCTTTACATAGACCAAGGTTTGGGGTTGAGTCAAAGTCACTCTCATCACTTGAATTTTGAGATAGGTTTAACTACTGCTGAGGGAAAAGCTTGGCTCTTCCATGATTGAGATGTTCATCACTATCACTCTCACTTAGGCCCAAGCCTACATAGCAGTGCATAATTTCATTTAGAGTTCGACATTACGAACGAAATGTGTTAGTCCATCTTTGGGCATTCATTGGACGTTCAACAAAGCAACTTTTAAAGGCAACTTCTCGCGGTCTACCATTGGATGTCCTTAGATGGACCTTGGATGGATGGCCCAGTTGGGACCTTCCGTCTGGCCTGACATCTTCATTTCATTCAATAAATATAAAGTTCCCATCATGTAAGTGAGGTCACTCTCATCCCGCCGTTGTATATCTCCCGATTCCACAAATGCTAACGAATTGTTTAGCGGGAGCTTTCGTCCTCTACTCGATAATTTTCCACATACAAGCCGGAGGGATGAAGTCATTCTAATTAATTCATTTGTTGAGAGACGTAACGTAGCTCAAAGAGACTCCAGGCAACTCTTGCACACTGCATGGAGAGAGTGTGGTTCCCCTTGTCAAGTATGTCTATTGCTTCCACGTGTGGACCTTGTCACCTATGACGATGGTGAAAACAAATTCTGGATTGAGAGTTTCGTCTTAGTAATACTTCACTTTCAATTCTAAAGCTTCTCTCCTGGTTCTTCTTAGGAACTTGAGAGGGCGAGATCGTCAATCTACGAAAAATGCTCCTTTCTCTTGTCATGAATATTCACGAGCTTGCAAATTTTACTCCATTGCAACCCAGGGATTTCTATCGCTGCATCCCTCGATGGTCCCGATAGCTTTCCCATAGAGAATCTCCAATGGATCCAAAGAGATAGACATCCAATAGGCCATCCAATGGACATGACCAAGGATTATCCTTGGACGAAACATTTAGTATGTCCGAGGAGGATATACATCGGGTGTCAAAGTGTCCTTAAGGGTAGGGGAAAACAACGAAACTCGAACCATTTTTCCGTCCAATTATCAAATTCAGCGTTTCTCTCACCCCATTATGGTCAACCCAGGAGGCGACCATTTTGTTTCACCCCTCTCTGAAACTACCTGTTTTCAAGGGTCAAGTTGTGGTAGGAATAAATCTTCAGTGACGGAAAGTTTGTGTGCACGGTCCCTCGAAATGAGACATGCCATAATCGTACGTGCTGCATCTTGAGTCGAACGGCTACGCACTGAGTCGAACGAATGCTCTCCGTGACTTGAACGCGAAATTTCTCCCTTCCACTCCGTAATCTGTACAGCCAGCCTCAGCTACCTTAGTGAATAATGTTTGCCGGATATGTTCGTACAATCTGCCACTCCTTTTTGTTTCCGTTAGAGAAAAACAAACATACGAGGCATCTAAGGATTTTTTCCTTGAATATGAATATGGATTCGAAACACGAACACAACCAAGTGGAGCGTAAAATTCTAATAGAATAAAATACAATGAGAAGGGAAAAAGCGAAAACAAAAACTAAAAGAGTAACCAGGAAATGTTCGATCAAAATACACAAAGGGAGGTGGGCTTTACCTGGCTGGATCATCTGGATTATCAACATCAGAATCAGACATTTCTTGACATCTTTGTACGGTTCTATTTCTGATGCTTTTCCTTTTGCGACCCCTCCCATTTTTCTTTCGTCAAGCTATGGATTTGCAACGTTTAACCGAAGATGCTCTCAGGTCTATGTCTTACGGCATAATCAAGCCAAACTGGAGGGATATTATCCTACCATTAACATATTCCTAAAGGAACTCTTACACGAAATTGTGCATGAACGCGTAGTTCTATGGAACAATTTTCCTGGAGATACCCTACAACTGAAACACGATGGTTTCAAATACAGTATCTGAGCACGCTCAGATGTTGCACTCGTTCTTCTTCTCACGATCGAAATATCATAGGAAATCAGAACCACGGCATCTTCGATACAACGGGGAAACTACAGCAAAATAATTCAATCGCCCGAGAGGACGTCGAACGAGCAGCCGATAATTTTAGCCTAAGCATTCGAGTCAAGTTGCACTTTCACGAAGCGTTCGAGTTTCGTTCTTTTCTACCTACGTCCAATGGATTTATTTTGGTTCAAAATTGCTACTTTAGTCGTCATTCCTGCCCATTTAATTTCTACCTTATGTGATTCTTATTCGCTATCTTTCCTCCGTACATGATGGAAGCTCTCCTACGAAGTTTCCACATCTCCATATTTCTTCTTTCGTGCAGGATTCTCCCGAACGTAAATCTTGCAAAGAGATTCTTGCCCATGAATACGACCTTTGGAAGACCTTCATGTCGAATAGCGACGGAGTAGTGGTGTCCAAGAAACCATAAACCTCACACCGACATCAGCTTGGTATCGCTCGTAAGATCTTCGAATTGCTACACGCGAACATCTCTATCGTGCCAAGTTCCACTAATTTAAATCGTGTGGGTAAAACCACAGAGAACTCGTGAACTTGCGTAAGAATAGAAATAAGGGAAGGTTTGACGAAACGCGCAAAACCGGCACCAGTCGGCCTTGAAAGTGCTCGGACTCTGGCAAGGATCTTCAATGGAGATGAAGTCGCAGTCGGATTCCTGAACGGGTGCAAGGAGGTCTATTGCGGGTTTCGTTCTTCCCCTCTGTTCCATTTGCAATAAGGTCTCGGGGCGTTTCGCGAGTGATTGGAATGGATCGGAATGAGACGGGGATAATCTGGGCGAGAATCAAGGAAGTTGGACTTCTCTTTTACTTAGTGGATCCGCGCGAAACGATCTTCGAGAAGCCAGAGGAAGTTCCAGACTATATCTCTCAGGTAAAGGATACGATACTTTTCATGCTAAGTGGGCCATATCTCATGAAATATTTACTGCTTCTGAGTCTATCGCAAGATCATCTCATATTTTACGCAGGCGGTTCCGTATATCGTTCTGGGTGTCATCTTGGAACAAGTACTTCGATGGAAGCAGGGAAAACCGCTCGTTCGACCCGACGAAGGCATGATCTCCCTGGCCTTCACATTCCTCATGGAAATCACACTGTCAGTGGGCGCTTCTTTATAATCTCACAACGACGCAGTAAAGAAATGTTCGATGAAGATGAGCGGAAACGATGCAAATACGTCTCAAGAGCTAGTGCTTGTACAGGCAGAGATAATGACTCAGAAAACTTTCCATTACTTCATTACGTCCTTGTCACCATCATGGATGGAATAGGGCGAAAAGCATTCATTTATGCGAATGAGACTGAATAAACATTCGAAAGTATCGACCAGGTAGTAAGTTGGTGAATAATATTTGTGAATCATACCTTCATTTCAATGAATTTTCAACAGCATTCAATGCAAACTGAAATGTTCAAATGAACGTTTTTCACTATATAAAAATGGGGGTCTTACCCAGGAACGGAGTAACCCATAGGCTATAGCCTTAGGTCCTCATATTTTTAGGCCCTACTTTAGTGGGCTCCAGTCCATTTTTTTTGCAATATGTAATTCATACTTAGGCCCTTCCCTCCTATTAGCCTTAGACCCCTCATAACCTTAATCCGGCCCGGTTCTTTCCCCCCCCCNNNNCCTCAAAAAAAAACAAAGAGACAAAGCAGGTAATTATTTTTAGTCATTTAAAAAAAATTTAGGGTCAGTTTTTCATGTTATTTGCCCGAAAAACATGACATTTTCACTTCATTTGCCTAAAAAAGGTCAAATTTACACGACTGACATGGTTTGTATATTACTATTACTGTACATGGCATAATTTCATTACTTTTACCTACCAGTATTATTGATACCTGGCGCCCATACAGACTGGAATTGTGAAGCTGTTTTTGCCATAACTTCTCTAGTTTAGATACAAGCTGTCATTTCAATTTTGAAATTTCCATCTTTAAATTGATTCCAGACACTTTTCTCCAAAGCTAACCGAGGGAGTTCCACTTGACCAAACAGTTTGAACAAGTTCAGTGGCCAATATCTACTCTTGCCACCTCTGGAATTCGCATTTCTAATACTTCCTTCAAAAGTGGATGGAATACCATTTCTTACGATATCAAATTCGAGATTGGCATTCAATGTCTTCATGAGATGTGAATATTTAACTGCAGTAGCAGTGCCAAAATTATACTTGTTCGAGCAGTTTGACCGACTTTTGTGAACGACATCTGCACTTGCCTCTCCACGAATCCCCAATTATAATATTTTATTCAAAAGTACCTGATATCCACTTTCTAACGATACAAAGTTCAAGATTGGCACTCAATTGTTTAATGAGATATAATCATTCAACGGCAACAACTGGGTGCAGATGGTTGCTCCAAGGAATCCTGGGAATGTAGCCCAATGTTATGCCGCCATATGAGTGAAATTTTTTCCATGCTAAAATTTCGCTAATTTTAATCCTAAGCATTTTCATTATTATCCCAATGAACAAAATTGCATAATAGTGCATGTAGAACAGTTGCAAATAAGTTAAATAGTTATATAATGTTACTAATGAAGAAATACATCAAAGCAATACAATGGAAAGCATTTTTGAACATTTTCTGCCATACATTGCAATTTCGCATGCAAGGATAAGAATGCGCGAAATCGAAAAATCAGCAAAAATTTCCCCTATATGACGGCATACCATATGACAGACGTGAACACGTGAACATGTAACACTCCATGCCACCGTCGATGATTTCTTAGCGCTTTCCGAGCCTTTGGCTGATGGTCTAAATGGAACACACCCGTGTTGGATTGGATTTTGCCGTTGTTGTACAACTTTTTTGGTCACGACTCAAAATTCAACATTCAAACCCTGGGTCGCGACCCTGGGTGTGGGACCCCCTGCTGTACAGCAGAGTATGAACTCGGCCTAATAACGCCATTTCTTTCCAGGACATGCCTCTCCTCGCAGTGTATCTCTTTCCTCTGTTCTGTTCTTGTGTTTCACTCTGATCAAGGAGTGATATGTGTCAGATCTAATTTTAAAATCTATAATGGGCCTTGTGCGATAGTTTTGGTGGGCCTAGTCTGCCATTTATGTACTTAGGCCTAAGGCTAAGATTGTGAAGTACCCAAGTAGCCATGGATGATCCAAAACTCGTCCATGGACGGTCCAGTTGTCCAGAGATGGGTGCAAGTCCAGAAGCGGTCATCCTTTGGATGTACATAGTACGTCATCGCCATGGATTGATATCTTCTCATGCATTTTATGCTTTATCCGACCAGAATTTCCCTACATCGAGCACTCAATTATTTCCATTTTATTGAATTATGGTTTTTTGGGATGACGTTCCGAGCAGCCGATAACGGGATTTCTATAGTTCTATTTTCTTTTTTAATACAAATATCACATTTAAGGTCGAAATCCAGCAACATCTATTGACATCCTTTGACCAGTGCATGATTTCATATAATAGAGTTCGACATTAGGAACGAAATGATGTGTCAGTCCATCTATGGACATCCATTGGACGTTCAGTAAAGGAACTTCTAAGGACATCCTCTCAAAGTCTACCCATGGATGTCCTTGGATGGAATCCCTGCCCCGTTGAGGCCCTCCACCTGGCCTGACATCTAGCAGTTCATTCAATAAATATGAAGTTCCCACAATGTAAGCGAGGTGAAAATAAATTAACTACTGTATGTCTCCTGATTTCCTTAATGCTAATGAATTGTTCTGCGGAAGCTCTCATTCTCTACTCGATTTCCCATGTACAAGCCGAAGGAAGCAAGTCATTCGAATTAGTTCATTTGTTGAGGGACGTAACATAGCTCAGGAAGACTCCCTGCAATTCTTGCACATTGCATGGAAGTCTATTCCATTTTAATGCCGTAACCTTTCGCAGCAGAAAACAGTCTCTTATTTGAAAGGTAAGGATGGAAAGATGAGAGTAACATCTGAGTAATACCTTACTTTCCATCTAAACGCTTCTCTTCTATATCATCCCAGAAACGTGAGTGTGCGGAATCTTAGTAGTCTCAGAAAGTACTCCTCTCCCATGCTAAAAAAATATCGATTAGCATGCAAATTTCGCTCCATTCGTATGGGAGTTGCTATTGCTATTGCAGCATCCCTCAATGGACATCCGATAACTTTCCCATAGAGATTCTCCTATGGATCCAAAAAACGGACATCCAATAGGTCATCCAATGGACATGTCCATGCGCCCGAAGCCGCACGTTGAGAAAATGCAACGAGAAGGCAATTCCCCCGCGTATGGTATACCATAGTGCAACTGTTCTCAATCTGTGGTTCGCGACCCCCCTGGGGCGTCGCGAAGGGATCCCAGTAAGGTTGGAGATAATTAAGAAATCTCTTTTCTTTCCCTGATTTCATGAAGTCAATCGAGCCATGTTTTCCGAGAGAAAAATCTCGGAGTATTTTTTTCCTATTAGTCAAAAGTAACTCCATTTGAGGAATAACTCAGTAAGCAGGTCATTAGGAGCTTAATCGAAACTCAGGTGAAAGTAGAGCCACTGCTGCTCGAATAATTGCATCTCTGGCGACAGCTTTGCCCTTAATCACTCCTAGGAATGAGGATGAGTCAGGGCACAGCTGTCATCAGAGGTGGAGTGTGTTGGTGTGAGTTCTGTGATTGTGGACAAGGTAGCACTAGCCTCTAAGGGAGGAAGTCCAAGACTGTAACCTTTTCCAGTTCGGGTATTAGATGTTGACAGTCATTAATAATACTGATTTTGTGGCCTAAAGGCCACAAAATCAGTATTATTAATCAGTATTATTAGTCGCTCCTGAATAAACTTTGCATTATCGTTTTGCATCTATTGCGGCACGTGGCCTTTCATTGGCGGCCTCACGCTGTTCGCTGTTCAAAGGACAACACAAGCCGCCGCAGACGTGTCCGAACGTTAGCGGCCTTTGGTTTCGAAATGGACTATTGCACACACAATCGTGCTGTGTGCTCACATGCCACCGACCACCACAACCATCTCCATGGACCACTGTAGATTTTATTATCAAGATTTTATTCATATATTTAATTCAGTGAATCGTCATTCACTCCTTTTTCCCTCCTGATGACAGGGAAATATATCGAGGAATGGGATATGGGATGTATTTCTACGTGTATGAGCACTGGAGGCTGTTTGATTTCGAATGGGATTCACCCTGGACCTGGATCATGACTGCTCTCGTGGTTGACTTCCGTTACTACGTTCTTCATCGCGCATTACATGGTAAGAGACACACGCGGAGGGTATCCTTCCTGTTTTTGCAATATGATCTTTTGATGAAAATACTCGCTGGAATGAAGACGGTAAGGGTCATTCTATGTCAATTTAAAAACAAATTTACCCGACCCTCTCCATTTTACATAAAATTCGATGAGCTCGTAGGGGCTATTGAAAAATTACTGTACTTATTGTCAAATTGAAGCTCCTTAGATCAAGTACATTCTTTTGTACTTGCAGTTACGAAATTACTAAAAGTCAAGCTAAAACTGGACCAACTTGAAGGACACTTCTGCATTCATGACTCGAGCTTGTCAGTCGCAAGCTCATCTGGCATGACAGCGATTCGCTTCTTTGAAACATATGAGAAGCAGACACTCTGATAGCAACTTTTTCTTTCGTCGATGGGATGAAAGAATTAAGTTTTTGAGCTCTCGGTATCGTGCGTGATTGTGCAGTTTTTTCTTCCCGAAATTCCGCCACTCTCCTATAGTCTTCCAAGTTGCAATACTTGAAGCAACTGGTTGAGACGTTCACAGATGCTCACTCGAACAGTTGGTAAGGCGTCATTACCTCTTGGTTGTACAGTCGTTGGAGACTGGCTCTTGAAGCTAACCTTTTCACTGAGCCTCCAACTCCATCACAAACTCCTTTTCCGTGTCTGTTGGCTGAGAAGTGCCACTCAGATGGGAAGTCAAATCTCATGAAAGCACAAGTTGAGGAAAATTTTCCGATTTGTTGGGTGCGGGTATTAGCCGTAAAAGAAACATCGGTTGACTCTAATGGTTTCATTTAAAAACTGATGATATTTTACGGTTAAAACCCACTCCTTAAAAACCTTTAAGTTCTTCAGATTTATTTTTCCTGCCAAGCCTTTTGCCAAAATTCCTTTCATAGATCTGAAAGAGACCTAAAGAGACGAACAGCGGGTTAGGCCAACAATGTAAATCGCAGAAAAAGCTGAGATCAGCGCAATTTAAGGAAACTAACTGTTCCACAATCAAAGCAAATCCATCGTAGAATGAGACGTCTATAGGGACGCTTACTTTCATGATATCGCTTCGATACTGCGTAATTCGATCAACTGCCAACAGATGGCAGGGTGACCTGCCCATACCAACCTCGTTGGGTCAGTTTCCCAATGCCGGCCCACCTTCTGCCCAACAAGACGCGGGCGAATGCCTTCAATGTTCCGTGGGTCCTCAACTGGAAATGTCATTCTGCCGCACCGGCCACGATCCCGTTCGTGCCGACAGAGGTCCACCACCGGACCGGAAGTAGTGTGCTACCTGGGCAGCATTATGTACTGTGTGACTTTTGCATGCCCTTGAATTCTCTTTTCTCATGGGACATTACTATGAAGATGATTCCTTCATCTTTATTTTCCGAATTTGGTTATTAAACTTCTTCAATCTTCTATTCTTCCTATACCTCTCTACTTAAAGACGCTGAAAAGTCTTTTTATGTGTTTGGCGTGCCAGGCCTCTCGTGGGAGGACAGATTCCATGTCCCAAAATGACTTCGTTCCTGAATGCTTTAGCATTCCGAAGGATGTTGCTTGGGATAAACTCAAACCTTGGCAATAGGAGTGAATCCGAGTGAGGTATTCTCGTAAAATACTGTTCCTTCACCTCTCCCAGATGGATAATGCTGTAGATGCAGTTTATGTGGTTTTTTTTTTTTTACCATCAGCCGACTTTTCACCATTGTGAAAAGTCGGCTGATGGTTGGAGCATAAGCAATTTCCCAACGAGCCCAAGTTTGCCCGATGAAGGCCCAACAGGACATGCCCGACTATAAGTCATCTTAAACCAACCATAAGCCAACAAAATGTCAGTGATGGCTCAACTAAGGCTATAATACGCCTCGGCGAAAAGCCATCAATCGCTCGATGAAACATTTTTGACTGGGGTATTATATTTAAAAAAAAAAAATTTTTATATTCCGACTGACTTTGATGTTGGCATTTGCATTTCCAGAGGTGAGCCTGTTTTGGGCAATTCATCAGTTGCATCACATCTCCGAAGGATACAACCTCACAATGGCTGCTCAGAATAGTTTCCTTCTGCCCTATCTTGATTCCGTAAGTGGAAGTTTCCATGTCGTTTCGATATTAAAATGTGAGTTAGGAAAATCATTTCCGAGGTTCCCACTTTGGCCCTCAAAGATTGAGAGCTGCTCGGCCAAAGGGCGAGGCGGGTCCAATGAATTCCTCCTCCATCCCTTCCCTTTCCCCATTCATCGAGTTTGTGTTCAAACATACACGTAGTAATGTGAAAACCATTTTTCAAAGACTTTTCCTTTCTTCAACCTCAACTTCACCTTCTCCTCCCCCTTCTCTACGTAACTCACTAACGTTAGGCCCAGGTCTAACCGACGGACTCTCTTTGGGTCAGGTCTAGGCCTACTCATTTTTCAAAGACTTTTCCTTTCTTCAACCTCAACTTCACCTTCTCCTCCCCCTTCTCTACGTAACTCACTAACGTTAGGCCCAGGTCTAACCGACGGACTCTCTTTGGGTCAGGTCTAGGCCTACTTTTTTCGTCCAAAAAAACCTAAATCCTTGACTTACGGGGCCAATTAGGCCTATATGGATAAATCCCTAGTTCTCGAGACATCTCGTCGAGGGCGTGTATCATCAGGCCAATCACTGGCCTATTCAGTCTCTCATGGCCCTTTAAAGAGAGGACGTGTGAGGACCGATTAGAGGTCTTTTTCGAGTATTATGAACCATTTCAGTGCGAACGAGGACCGTTTGGCCTATATAGAGTTTCTCAAATCGTCTCGACTAGTTCTGAGGAGAAAATGCCTCTAAGAAGCAACGTGTGCGCCATTCTGTTAATTGTCCGAAAGAGATATCTTCACATCTCACCAATTCGATCGGCGGCTGCCAGCCACCATTTCAATCTCAGCTCATCTTATGAACTCGGCACGAAATTGTCTCATGGATAAAAAAAGATCCAGATACCGATACTAAGTCCGAAGATGTCAGGAATCTGACATAACTCCGGCATGATATCCGGCAGCACTGGGGGAAGGGACTGGAGCCATCATGCTAAGACTAAATGAAAGGCAGCTAATTTCAATATTGACCTACAAGTCGAAATATTTTGCTTGGTTGGTCTCTTTTCTCCGAAAACTCCCCATGGGTGACTTCCCAAAGGGGGGGGGGGGGGAATACAGGAATGAAATCTTAAAAAATCGAGATTTAGAGATCTCTACAACCCCGGAGAGATGGAACTTCAAAATTTCTTGAGCGATTCTGTGTAGGGAGAGAAAGAAGCATGTCAAATGTCGTTCCTGTTGATTTTCTCAGGATACACAAGGATGTTGAATTTTGTTATAGGAAGGGATTGAAAAAAAAGTAATGGGCGATACCGTGCCTATTGAATTTAGGTAGCGCTTTTCCCAACTTAATGGGGTCGCCGTTCGAGCATGCCCAAGAGCATCCTCCAATGATTTCGATCCTAGGCAACAGACTCAGCTGGTGGAATGCCGAGCCTCTCGTGACAAAGCTGAGCGATATATTGTAATCACTCCACCTTGTACGAGATCTACCGACAGGTCTTTTGCCGGTCATCCTGGCCTGGAAGACTCCTCTTGGGAGTCTCTCAGGGGGCATGCCGCAGACGGGTCCAAACCATCTGACCTGCGATCTCTCGATCCCGAGGAGCAGCTGCTTGAGGCGGAGGCTCTCGCGGATGGCGGAGTTCTGCATCCGATCAAGGTGCGTTATGCCAGTCACTCGACGCAAGAACCTCATTCCCTCAGCTTGAAACCGCGATCTGGTTCTTTGAGTCTTTACCCAAAGTTCATGACCATAGGAAAGTGGAGGGGATAAACATTCTTGAAAACAGAGAGTTTCGCTTCCCTAATAGAGCAACCACGGTTCGCTAAAGTTTCTCGCAAAACTGCAGAAGCCTTGGAGATGCGGTTGTCGACCACGTTTCCGTATCGCCCATCACTCGAGAACCAGACACTGAGGTACTTGGACTTCTCCAAATTTTCCAGTGGGATCCCACTGACATGCAGGGACTGTAAGGGTGGACTGTAAGGGATTTCTCGAGAGGACCATGACCTGTGTCTTTGAGACGCACGGTTCATTCTGGCTGCAGTGCGGCCGCCGACGCCGGCCGCGGAGTCGAACCTACCGAGCACGCCCGGAGCTGCTGTCGAGAACGAGTCAAAAGGACGGCATCGCCGTCAAAGAGTTGTATCCTTGTCGTGACGTCATCGATGTTGGACACCCTCCAAGCCGAGGAGGAGCTATGTGGCAAATGTATTAACCATACACAGGTATTGATTTTACGCAACCAAAGAAAAGAACATATTCTAGCGAGAAACACTGTATATTATGACCGCACCACATGAACACGGCCCAAGTTCTACTTCTGCATCAATAATTAGGGAAAGGGACGTTTTTTCATCAGCTAGTTTCTTTAACTTTGTTGAACTTCATCACTGCATTAGAACCTCATCGAGCAACTTGTCGAAAGACCGAATCCCTGGAATACAATTGAGCAATGTTTCATGAACGAAGGACTGAAAAGAGTTTGACTGAGGCATTAGAACTATGACTTCAAGTCCGAATTTAGCATGAGGTGAGAAAGCATATTTCGAGGGGTATCCACAGAACTGAAGAATGCAAATCTCACTTTAATCCTTATTAGGCAAGTGACAAAAAAGAGCATAACAAAAGCGGTGGTCAATTGGACTCGCTTGCTCGTTTTTTTTCTTCTTCAATCATGACGTAAAAAGTTCCTCTTTGGATTTACTCATATATGCCTTATGTAACTGTCAATGAAAGACGCATCAATTTTGTAGAAAATAAAAAATAATAATAATTTGGGCGATGTGAGTCCATTTTAGGATCCAGATATAGTTTAACCATTTAATGCATGAAGTAGCAGATATGCTACATACCAAATAAAACATTTTTAGAATGCGCAAGTAGCGTGCTCCTGAGGTAAATCTGTTCGTAGCAGAAGTGCAACAGTCCGGTCCTTATACCTAGCAACTATGCGGTCGCTAGATGCTATACACTCCTGGTGGCAATCAAATTATCCATAATAATTCCAGGCTCGTCCGTATTCTTACATTTTCTTTTATGTTGGGGTATGCACGAATGTTGATAGGCCTACTGAGCTCTCTAGCATTTATGCAGCTTGGGTTAGAAAGCTGAAATTGCTGAGCAAATGAGCAACAAAAAACCTACTGCTTACAAATTTGATTAAATTTTTTTTTTCCACTTGACCCATGAATGAAACCTACCAGATTTTTTCGCCGACAAAGAAAAAATAATGCATTAAAGAGTTAAAACGATTAGCCTTTATATTTAAGCTGAATTAGGATATATCCCAAGATCTGAAAATTTATTTGAGTTAATCGATTCCTTAGATATAAAAAACGCAGGAAATTCATGATCTCTAATCAAACTCTATTTTGCTGAAATATTCTGTGTGCTTTGAGATAAGTCCCCCATATCATATACATACGAGAAATTGTCTTATTATGCTCCAAGTAGTCTTCTGGTTGTTTAATGCGACAAAATTTGCGAAAGTGCCATTTCAACTATTGCCCTAACTGCACAAAATCAATCGTTTCTCTTGATCGAAATGCATTCTGGTTGTTTGGATGTACTATTCGACAAACCCAGACGAAGTACGCATAAAAAAAAAATCCACAGCAGGCACAAAACACAAGGGTTCTCTATTTTTAAGGAATCCAAAGAATCAATGTTGATTTAATATGGATACTTCCACCGTGAATACAGAAGCATTGAATATACGCTGGCTCAATGTGGGTGTATGAACAGTCACCGCTTTGAATTAATGTCAATGCCACGTGGAGGCATAAACCGTCAATATTGATGCATTCCATCCACACCTCCTCAAAATTGAATCAATATTTTGTGCTACCTGAGGTTTAAGGGTTGGGGGGGAAAAAGTGGGATGAATAACTAATAAATAATAATGAAATCTTCGTGGCAATCGAATGCCTTCTGAAGCCTTCCTCTTTAATTGTGTCCATTATTGGATTCGATACATTTCCAAATGCTTCCCACCTTTACCTGTACTACAGGTATTATTGCCATAATTTGCCTCGACAGGTGTCTTACATCCCGATAGCACTGCTGGGTGTCCCACCGAGTCACTTTCTAGTCCACATGCAATTAAACACACTCTACCAGATCTGGCTTCATACAGAGACTGTTTCTTCTCTGGGACCTCTCGAGTACATCATCAACACCCCATCGCATCATCGAGTCCATCATGGTCTGAATTCCAATGTTTTCATTTTTCAAAGACTTTTCCTTTCTTCAACCTCAACTTCACCTTCTCCTCCCCCTTCTCTACGTAAATCACTAACGTTAGGCCCAGGTCTAACCGACGGACTCTCTTTGGGTCAGGTCTAGGCCTACATTTCTCGTCCAAAAAAGCCTAAATCCTTGACTTACTGACAATTAGGCCTATATGGATAAATCCCTAGTTCTCGAGACATCTCGTCGAGGGCGTGTATCGTCAGGCCAATCACTGGCCTATTCAGTCTCTCATGGCCCTTTAAAAGAGAGGACGTGTGAGGACCGATTAGAGGTATTTTTCGAGTATTATGAACCATTTCAGTGCGAACCAGGACCGTTTGGCCTATCTAGAGTTTCTCAAATCGTCTCGACTAGTTCTGAGGAGAAAATGCCTCTAAGAAGCAACGTGTGCGCCATTCTGTTAATTTACAGATGTCCGAAAGAGATATCTTCACATCCCACCAATTCGATCGGCGGCTGCCAGCCACCATTTCAATCTCAGCTCATCTTATGAACTCGGCACGAAATTGTCTCATGGATAAAAAAAAATATCCAGATACCGATACTAAGTCCGAAGAAGTCAGGAATCTGACATAACTCCGGCATGATATCCGGCAGCACTGGGGGAAGGGACCGGAGCCATCATGCTAAGACTAAATGAAAGGCAGCTAATTTCAATTTTTACCAACAAGTCAAAATATTTTGCTTGGTTGGTCTCTTTTCTCCGAAAACTCCCCAGGGGTGACTTCCCAAAGGGGGGAATACAGGAAGGAAATCTTTAAAAATCGAGATTTAGAGATCTCTACAACCCTGGGGAGATGGAACTTCAAAATTGATTGAGCGATTCTGTGTAGGGAGAGAAAGAAGCATGTCAAATGTCGTTCCTGTTGATTTTCTCAGAAAGATACACGAGGATGTTGAATTTTGTTATAGGAAGGGGTTGAAAAAAGGTAATGGGCGATACCGTGCCTATTGAATTTTGGTAGCGCTTTTCCCAACTTAATGGGGTCGCCGTTCGAGCATGCCCAAGAGCATCCTCCAATGATTTCGATCCTAGGCAACAGACTCAGCTGGTGGAATGCCGAGCCTCTCGTGACAAAGCTGAGAGATATACTGTAATCACTCCACCTTGTACTAGATCTACCGACAGGTCTTTCGCCGGTCATCTTAGCCTGGAAGACTCCTCTTGGGAGTCTCTCAGGGGGCATGCCGCAGACGGGTCCAAACCATCTGACCTGCGATCTCTCGATCCCGAGGAGCAGCTGCTTGAGGCGGAGGCTCTCTCGGATGGCGGAGTTCTGCATCCGATCAAGGTGCGTTATGCCAGTCACTAGACGCAAGAACCTCATTCCCTCAGCTTGAAACCGCGATCTGGTTCTTTGAGTCTTTACCCAAAGTTCATGACCATAGGAAAGTGGAGGGGATAAACACTCTTGAAAACAGAGAGTTTCGCTTCCCTAATAGAGCAACCACGGTTCGCGAAAAGTTTCTCGCAAAACTGCAGAAGCCTTGGAGATGCAGTTGTCGACCTCGTTTCCGTATCGCCCATCACTCGAGAACCAGACACTGAGGTACTTGAACTTCTCCAAATTTTCCAGTGGGATCCCACTGACATGCAGGGACTGTAAGGGTGGACTGTAAGGGATTTCTCGAGAGGACCATGACCTGTGTCTGTGAGACGCACAGTTCATTCTGGCTGCAGTGCGGCCGCCGACGCCGGCCGCGGAGTCGAACCTACCGAGCACGCCCGGAGCTGCTGTCGAGAACGGGTCAAAAGGACGGCATCGCCGTCAAAGAGTTGTATCCTTGTCGTGACGTCATCGATGTTGGACACCCTCCAAGCCGAGGAGGAGCTATGTGGCAAATGTATTTACCATACACAGGTATCGATTTTTCGCAACCAAAGAAAAGAACATATTCTAGCGAGAAACACTGTATATTATGACCGTACCACATGAACACGGCCCAAGTTCTACTTCTGCATCAATAATTAGGGAAAGGGAAGTTTTTTCATCAGCTAGTTTCTTTACCTTTGTTGAACTTCATCACTGCATTAGAACCTTATCGAGCAACTTGTCGAAAGACCGAATCCCTAGAATACAATTGAGCAATGTTTCCTGAACGAATTTCTGAAAAGAGTTTGACTGAGGCATTAGAACTATGACTTCAAGTTCGAATTCAGCATGAGGTGAGAAAGCATATTTCGAGGGATATCCACAGAACTGAAGAATGCAAATCTCACTTTAATTCTTATTAGGCAAGTGACAAAAAAGAGCATAACAAAAGCGGTGGTTAATTGGACTCGCTTGCTCGTTTTTTTTCTTCTTCAACATCAAATCATGATGTAAAAAGTTCCTCTTTGGATTTACTCATATATGCCTTATGTAACTGTCAATGAAAGACGCATCAATTTTGTAGAAAATAAAAAATTATAATAATTTGGGCGATGTGAGTCCATTTTAGGATCCAGATATAGTTTAACCATTTAATGCATGAAGTAGCAGATATGCTACATACCAAATAAACATTTTTTGAATGCGCAGGTAGCGTGCTCCTGAGGTAAATTTGTTCGTAGCAGAAGTGCAACAGTCCGGTCCTTATACCTAGCAACTATGCGGTCGCTAGATGCTATACACTCCTGGTGGCAATCAAATTATCCATAATAATTCCAGGCTCGTCCGTATTCTTACATT